CAACCTGTGTGAGCCCTTTCACCTCCCTTCCGTCCGATGGCAGTTCCCTGACATCCACCTCCCCTCCAGGGCCCCCTTCACCCCCTCTCGCCCCCTCCTCTACGGGCGGTGAGGAGGCACAACCCCGGAATGAACTTCCTTCATCTTCCGATGTCTCGAACACTTCTCTCAACCTGTTGCGGTTCCTGGTCTCGAAGTACACCTCCTCCTCAGAGTCCATCTCCCCTTCCCCTTCCGAGTCCGGGAATCCTTCCAACTCCTCCCCTCATCAGTGGTCCCAAAGTATTCCCTCCGGAACCTCTCCACAGGCTGAGGTTTCCTTGGGAACCTTTGATGGAACGTTTCTATCAATACCTCGTCATTGATATCTTCGGCCATTACCCAAGTGTTTTCTGACTCCGGTTCTCCTTCCCACGCTACCAAATACTCCACCTGATCCCCCTTCCACCTGGCGTCGAGGATTTCTGCCACATGGCTGCTGCATTCTCTTTCTTCTATGACCGGTCCCCGGTGGCCAGCCCTTCTCGTCCCCCTTCGTACGGTGACAGTAACGACCTGTGAAATACTGGGTGCAGTTTCATGTGGTTGGGTAACCGGAGCCTGAAAGCCACTGGGTTGACCTGTTGAATGACCTCAAAGGGACCCAACCTCCTGGGTCTTAATTTCTTACAACCTCCTTTGAACGGCAATCCTCGGGTTGACAGCCACACCCTATCTCCCACCCTTATGGTTTCACCTTCCCTTCGGTTCTTGTCTGCCTGCCTCTTGTATTCTTCCTTCGCCCTTTCTAAGTTGAGTTGGAGCTGACGATGGATTGCTTCCATTTCTTCCACAAAATGCTCGGCTGCCGGGACGCTCCATCTCTCCCCATCTCCCCTGGGAAAGCCCTGGGATGACACCCATAATTAGCCAAGAAGGGGCTCATCCCTGTGGACACATTCTCGGCATTGTTGTAGGCAAATTCCGCCAGCGCCAACTTTTCTACCCAGTCATTCTCTCTGTCATTGACATAACACCTCAGGTATTGCTGGAGGACACCGTTTGCTCTTTCCGCCTGCCCGTTGGTTTCAGGGTGCCGGGCAGTCGAAGAATTGACCTCCACCTGCAGTAAGCTCATGAGCTTCCTCCAGAACCTGGAAGTAAATTGTTTTCCTCGGTCTGAGACCACCCTCAATGGCACCCCGTGCAACCTAAAAATGTGTTCTACAAATAACTTCGCTGTCTCTTCCGCCGTGACTGCATGCGAGCAAGCTACAAAGTGGCACATCTTTGTTAGTAGGTCTACCACCACCATGATGGCTGTTTTCCCTTTGGACTTCGGCAGATCAGTCATAAAATCTATCGACACTGCCTCCCAAGGTCGTTCTGGGGTTGGTAAGGGTTCTAATAGCCCCGCCGGCGCCCGCCTTTCCCCTTTGGCTCGCTGGCATTGCTCGCACCCTCTTACATACTCACGTACATCTTCCCTCACCTTAGGCCACCAAAATTCCCTGGTGACCAACCACATGGTTTTGTGTTGTCCAAAATGCCCCCGCCGTAGGGCTGTCGTGCAACTGCTTGAGTACCCTCCCCCTTAACTCTCCTTCAGGGATATACAGTGCCCCTTTGTAATACAAAGCTCCATTTCTTTCCTCGAAACCCCCTTGTTCCTCTCTCTCACCCCTAAGACCTCTGAGCTTATTCTGGGCGTATTCATCATTCTCTGTTTCCTCTACCAGTTCTCTTTGTCCCACCAATGCCGCCCAACAAACCCCGGGGTCCTCTGGAATTACATGTCGCTCTTCGGTGCCCCTCCCCTCCAAATATTCTGGTTTGCGTGAGAGAGCGTCCGCCCTAATGTTCTCTGGGCCTGGCACGTAATTAATCTCAAAGTTAAATTTGGAGAACTCCTGGGCCCATCTCACTTGCCGTTGGTTGAGCACTCGTGCCGTCCTCCAATACTCTAAGTTCTTGTGGTCAGTGCACACTTGCACCTTATGTTGTGCGCCAATTAGCAGGTGCCTCCATCTCCGGAACGCCTCATGAATGGCTAGTAGTTCTCGGTCATACACCGTGTAGTTCCTCTCGGATTTGTTCAGCTTTCGCGAAAAAAGGCACACGGTCTCCACTCTGACCCCTTCTTCCCTGGCTGCAGAAGCACCGCCCCAATCGCTCTGTCTGATGCGTCAGTTTCCACTCTCATCGGTTTTTGTAAATCCACATGCAGGAGTTGTTGTTCCGAGGCGAAGGCCCTTTTAGTTCCTCAAATGCTCGCTCCGCCTCCTCAGTCCACACGAACTTCTTCTTACTGCTGAGACAGTCCGTAATGGGCGCCGTCAGGTGGGCAAAGTTTCGGATGAACTTACGATAGAAGTTCCCAAATCCTAGGAACCTCTGCACATCCTTCTTTGTTTTGGGTGTTTTCCATTCCAGCACCGCCTGGACCTTGCCGGGATCCATGGCCAATCCCTTGTCAGACAGGCGATACCCCAGGAATTCCACCTCCTTGGTATGAAACTGACACTTCTCCAGTTTCACCCACAGCTGGTTGGCTTGCAGCCTGCTCAACACTTCTCTGACGTCTCTCACATGCTGCTCCTCATTCTCAGAATACACCAACACGTCGTCTAAAAAGGCCACACAATTCTTGTAAAGCAAAGGCCCCAGGACGTGGTTCATAAACGATTGAAATGTTGCGGAGCCTGCTTGTAGGCCGAAGGGCATAACCAAATATTCAAATGCCCTTAAAGGGGTGAACATAGTGGTTTTCCATTCATCCCCCTTCCTTATTCGTACCAGGTTGTACGCCCCCCTTAGGTCCAGCTTTGTGAAAATCTTTCCCTTCCGCACCCTTGTCAAAATGTCGTCAATCCTGGGCATAGGGAAGGCTACTGGTTCTGACACTGCATTTAAGGCCCTGAAGTCACACACCAGCCTCGGCTTGTTCGTGTTTTTCTTATCCACAAAAACACTGGGCTTTGAAACTGCGGCGCGCGCTGTTCCGATTTCCATCGGCTCTGCCGGTGGGAAAGTTGGCTCTGGAATGTCTGGAATGCGGAACTCCTTCCAACGTTCCCCTTTCCCTTCCCGCCTCTCCAATGCTCTCGCCTCCTGGCGCGCTCCTATGGCCAGCGCTGATTTGGTCAGCTGGTCCATAGACTCCACCCTGGGCGCCCGGGAAAGTTCATCTTTCACAGCCGAAGAAAGCCCTTCTTCAAAGAGCATTTGAATGGGTTCCGCCGATAAGTCCCACCCCAATCTGTGAACAAGCATGGTGAACTCAGTCCAGTACTCACGGACAGATCGGCTCCCCTGTTTGCAAGCCATCAACTGTCTGCGCACCACTCCCTTTTCAATATCGCTGGAAAACATCAGATCCATGGCGCGAAAGAACTTCATCGTGTCCTTTAGGACGTCACTATTTGCTGCCATCAGGGGTCTAACCCAGTCTCTCGCCCCCTTTTCAAGATGCTCAATCACGAAAGCCACTCGTGATTCCTCGTCAGGAATTCATCAAACTGCAGATTGAGGGCATATTGCATTTCTGTCCGAAAGCCATGATAGTTTTGGGCTCCCCCAAACTTCTGCACCAATCCTGGTACCTTTCTGGCGAGCTGGGTGGCTTTCCCCTTTTGTCTGCATCCTGAGCCCTCCTCTCCTCCAAGCCTCGCCGTCTGCATCGCTAGCTGGACCTCCAACACCCGGTACCTTTCTTCCAGGCTTGGACCCACTCCAGCTCCTGCTTCTCCGGTTCCGGCTGGGTTGCTCATGATGCCTTCTCCTGCACAAGCTGCTTTCAAAGACTGTCGGAATGCTGTGATGAGATGATGAGCTGCTTGTGCGTAAAATCGTATCCCCTCAGAGTTTGTTCAAGTCCACAAACCTCTGTCTGTGATGAGCCCCTCAGACATGGCTCCTCTAGTCACTAGCAGATTCCGACAGTGGTTGCTTTCGTAATCGCTTCCAACATAAAAGCTCCTTAACGGAAACACGTCTTCTGGACTCTCTGCGTGACAGTTTCCGGCGAGCAGTGGGTGTTCTTACAGGAGGTCCTGAAACCTCCCCACTGTTTTCGCTGGAAGTGTCTCTGAGCCATCCCTCCAGCTCAGCTCCTCTCCCCTGCTGGTTCCCTCTTCAGCTGCTGCGTCTCTCCCAACCTGTGTGAGCCCTTTCACCTCCCTGCTGGTTCCCTCTTCAGCTGCTGCGTCTCTCCCAACCTGTGTGAGCCCTTTCACCTCCCTGCTGGTTCCCTCTTCAGCTGCTGCGTCTCTCCCAACCTGTGTGAGCCCTTTCACCTCCCTTCCGTCCGATGGCAGTTCCCTGACAGTTTTAAATAACTTTTTATTCAAAATTGAAACAAAACAGATTATCCAGAAACATATCATCCTTATTCCCCCCCCCATTTTTCCTCCCTCCCCTCCCTCCCCCCACAGAACCCACCCACCCCCACCCCCGACTTCCCTCAGTTCCAGTCTTTGATTTTTCTAAAAATGCTGTTTTCTGCATGTTACACAGTTGTAGAGATCCTCAAACTATTTAACTGATTATTATCAATAAAAAGTTTGTGAATGTTTAATCAAAACCAGCCAAGGAGTCTAGTTCGCTTTGTTGCGTCTTCAAATACTTTGTAAAAGGTTCCCATTTGTCTTTAAAGTCACAGTTATCCTTGTCCCGTAGCTTATATGTCAGTTTTGCCAGTTCTGCATAGTCCATCAATTTTTCTTGCCATGATTCTTTAGTTGGGGTTTCTTCAGTCCTCCATCCTTGTGCTATTAAAACTCTCACGGCCGTTGTCGCATACATGAAGATGTTCTTCAGCTTTTTTGGCAGATCTTTCCCTACAATCCCTAATAAAAATGCTTCAGGTTTTTTAACAAATGTTAAATGGAACATTTTCTTCAATTCGTTGTATATCATTTCCCAATTTTTTTAAATTACCTTACAGTCCCACCACATATGATAAAATGTAATTGTGGCATTTTGGTTACACTCTGCCAATGGGCATGACCTAATCTTCTGTGTCATAGATGCAAACATTTTTTATGAAAACTTTCATTTTTACATACAGGTTGTGTGTCGTTGCTGGCTAATACAGACTCTTGAACACAGTCTTTTAGCACAAACAACCCATTTTCTGCCAGAGCCCTCCCCAATGTCTCTCCGCCTTTCTGGATCTCACAGTAACTGTCCTGAAACAGCACTACAAACCCAGCTTTCAGTAGACAGGAGACGGACATCAGGTTACTCCTCAGCGAAGGAACACACAAAACGTTGTCCAGATGCGTGCACAGACAGGAGACAAACACAGAGCCACCTGACTCCACGTCAGATTTCCTCCTGTCAGCCAACGCCACCTGGCTCCGTGGTGTAGCAACCTTCTTGGCAAAAAACGCCTCTGAAACAACAATATGCCGGGAACTCCCTGAATCGATGATCCAGGTGTTTCGCCGCTCATCAGAACACTCGACCACGGCCATCACAAGTTGTGCCGTCTGCTTCTTCTTTGCAAGCTTCTTCTGCTGCTTGCGCTGCTTTGGACCCTCAGATATGGCCTCCTCCAGACACTGCTTCCTTAGATGCCGGGTAGAACCGCAGCGGTAACAACGCCGAACAGCAAACGCAGCCTTTTCGCCAGCCGTAGCTTGGGTACGTTGTTTTGGCTGCTTCTCCTCAGAAATGCTGCCTGCATTCCTCACAAGCCTATCACTTGACGAAGCACTCGCAGCCGACAACTCCTTGCCGTCACGCCTCTGCCATTCCTCCAGCAGCCTGCCAGTGACATAATCCAGAGTCAGATCTTCACGCATAGCTTCCAGCGTGAGAACAAAATTGTCCCAGCTATCAGGGAGAGAACTTAGAATATTGCAGACCTTTTCCTCCTCTGGAAGATTACAGCCTCTCTCCTGAAGTGGCACAAACTTCAGCTGCAAATCGTGGAGATGGTCTTGCATTGTAACTCCTGGTTTTAGCTCAGACTTGTACAGAGCCTTCTGGATAGACAGCTTCAAACTAGCCGCCTCCCGAATGTGGAGATTTCTCAGCGCCAACCACACATCTCACACAGAATTGAGCCCACGCACATGTGGCAGCTGCAAATCATCCAGTCCCAGGATTAATGTGGCTTTTGCTCTTTGGTCTTTGTCTTTGTCTTCAGCATCAGGCTTCAAAGGCGGTCTGTCCACCGACTCCCAGAGAAACTCTCTCTGCAACGTAGCCTGCATGCGTTGAGACCATAGCAAATAGTTGTGGTTGTTTTTTGTTTTTTTTTAAATGATATTTATTGAGATTTCAAAAAAATACAAAAATTACACAAAAACAAAAAATAGAAAATACAAAAACTTACACACACAAAAAAGAAAGAAATACAAAAGTAAAAATAAAAATATGAGAAAGTGGAAAATACAGAAGAAAAATAATAATAAAGAAGAAAAAACATTAGACCTCCTCCTCCTCCCTTCCTTTGTATTCTAGTTATTAATTATCCCAGCAAATCCTTTCCATCTTTCTATAATAAAATAAACCTTAAAATTTAAAATTTAGATCTTAACTTTACCAGCTTCTTGTGTTCATAATGTTCTTTCATAATTCTTTATACATCTTTACTAAAGCCAGGTAATTTCTTCCAACATTTTTCTATCATTCATTTTTCTATCATTCTATCATTCATCAACTTTATAAAACATTCTGTTAGTTAAAAAACGAGAAAAGAGAAAAAAGCATATAAACAAGTCCAATCTTTATCCAACGTCCCTTCCTCCTGGTTCCGGGATTTGTCAGTCCTTATTCCTCAATCTAACCCGGTGACCTTATGTCCGAGGCCCTCAGGTCACTTCCATGGCCCTTCCGCAGCTTTTCTTCATATTTGTGGCTGTAGTCACTTGCTCGTAGTAACTCCAACTTAATAGTGTTTTTAACCCTTCTCATCAGATCAGATCCTTTTCCCTGTTCATCGCTGCATTCCATGTAGTATTTAAGAGCATACTTCAAGGGCCCTCCGAAATTGTGGGCCCCACAATTCCAAACATGTCGCAGCCTGTTACTGTATTTAAAAAGTCCAGATATCCCAACATAGGGGTCAATCCAGCCCCCATTTCCAAACCACACCAAACTTTCCCTTCCCATATCTGGTTTTTCCAAGTTCCATTATCAAATCCGAAGGATCAAGCTCCTGTTGAGACTGTTCTGTCAAGCCACACTCCTGATTTAATGCCACAAACCCCTGTTCTGTCAAAACACACTCCTGGTTTGAGTCCTGGATAGACTCCACATATATTCCCACAGTTTGATCAAAGCCTTCCACTGCCTGTCTAAGATTTCCAGTCGACTTGGCCATCTGGTTCACCTTATCATGTAATTCTTCCAGTAGAGTATTTGTTTTATTAAGCAGGCAGACCACAACTTCTGAAAACATTGTTGCACTCTCCCACGATTATTTGTAGCAACTGTCAAGTCCTTGGCATTAGTTACAGTTTCTAAGGCTCCCCTAGGAGAAGACTTATATTTGTTTTTGTTACATTTCCATGTTACTTGAAATACTTTATCCATATATATTCCTTTAAAATGCGAAAGGGAACAGTAGAGTCACAAAAATTCTCTTCTTTTAACTATCTGTCACACACAGATATCTTGATTGATTCACGTCAGTCCTGACTTCCCGCTCCAGGATCAGGACGAAAATAACTTCCTTTTACTGCTTCAAATAGTCCAAAAAAATATTCCCAATTTGAAATGTTGGAATCCACTCTTTTAAAAGCAATTTTCAAAGCTCTAGTATAAGTTGCCTTTGCTTTGTTGTATTTACAAAAGAACGGAAGGGTGACTTCCTGTTTAGCCCTTCCCGCTCCATACCAAATTCAATCGATTTTTCTTTTTTTTTATAGTCCAATTCTGTCCTTTTCACTAATCTTCATTTACTGTCCCAATTTGTTCAAATTCTGAGTACTCACGGATATTTGTTTTAAAGTCCGAATTGTCCAGGAAAAAAGGCAGCGCTCTCCGGCAACAGCTATGCGGCTTCACTCCACAAAGAAGCAGACGACTCGCAGCACAGCGCCACTTCCCGCTCTGTTCCGGAGCCCGTTGCCGGGTTCCTTTGCAGATTGGGGGCGCAAACAGTGCCCGCCGAGTCCCAGGGTCACAGGCTTCACCCGCCTGTGGTTTAAAGGGTCCCCGCTGCGCCGAGCGGTATTAGACCCGATTTCTGTGGAGCGGTCTCCCTCCGAATTAGAGGGATTCCGCCATTGCCGTTGGCGCCACCTCCGGAAGTCCCGCAAATAGTTGTGGTTGTTGAGCCGTTCAAATGGCATCACAAATGGAAAAGCCATTGCTTCTGAGCAGTGTTCCACAACAAACAGGAACCAGCAGCTCACAGCTTACAACTCCAGAGAGCGATCCACAACATCCAGCTTCCAAACACTCCAGCTGGTGTCTGTCTTTAGCAGCTCCAGACATCGACACACCCAGGACATGCAGGTCTTGCCGGGTCAGCTTCTGGTGTCGACACACACATGACACAGCTACCGCTGATCACCTTTGGCCAGTCCTCGCCAACTCCTACACTAGGAATCTGGGAGACTGATGACCCAGGCGTCCACTGCTTCAGAACTCGCTGCAACCAATCTGGTCCCATAACCTATTGGCAAAACCTATTTGGTGTTTCACAACTTTCTGACTAGTTGCAGGACCTTAGCCAGACCTAGCAGAGTACACGCAGAATCCACGGAAGCAATTGGCAACTTGGCTGCAGACAGGATAGACGAAGCAGGAACCAGGAACTTGTAGTTAGGTGTTTATTACATACAGTGGACTATTTACAGGAACACAACACAGATCTTTTGCTAGCTCTCTCTGACATGACTCACAACTCCTACACTGACACACAGAACCACTGAACTACTGAACTAACACATTCCAGTTAGTAGGCTATTAATTATCACTCCCTTGAGAGAGCTTGACCAATCAGGGAGCTGTCTCCATGCCTCTGTTATCACCAGGCAGACTTACTCCTTCAGATTGCCTTCTGGTTGTCTGCCAAACCTTAATTGACTCTGTCTGTGTAGCTGCATGTACAGTTTCCCAACACTCCAGGCAGTGAGTCGACCCAAAAGTCAGGGACCACTGGTGCCATGACACCACTGGGTCATGCAAGGCCAACCAACTCATCCCCAGAATAATGGGTGGTCCCGCTAAGGTGATCACATGAAAGGCGATGGTCTCAGAGTGCGTGGAGATCCACATTCTCATGGGAGGGGTCGGAAGCATGACCTCCCCCCCCCCAATAACTCCCTCCCATCAATTGTGGTAACTTACAGGGGGAAGTCCAGTGGCAGCAGGTTCAGCAGGTGCAGCTGGTGCTGCGCAGCAAAGTCCGTACTAAAAAAATTGGTACTGGCTCCCAAGTCAATTAAAGCGGGGACCTCCATTGCATGGCCATTGGGGAGCTCCAGCAGCACCCTGACCACTATGCCTGCTTTGGGGTGAGCTGGTCGGGGCTCTTCCTTGTTGCTCCTGCCTGGCTGTTGCCCCGGTTTACCACCAGCTAGGCCTTCCAGTTACCCTGTTCCTTGGCCCCTTCCTCCTCCTCCTCCTGTGGAGTGGCCCCAACCATCCCTTGCCACGCTCGACGTTGTGGACAAACCCTAGCAAAGTGACCTGGTTTCTGGCAAAGGAAACACTTCTTGGCTGCTTTCCAGTCCTTTCCCTCCTTTTTCTCCGGCTGTTCAACTTTTGAATGCTCCCGCGTGCAGGCTGAGTCGATTTCCATCGGCTCTGGCTGAGCACGACCTTGAGAAACCCCTGCTGGCATCTCTGGAATGCGGTTGCCATGGAAACGCTCCCCTCTGCTCTTCCTTCTCTCCAGCACACGGGTTTCCTGACGCACTCCCACGGCTAAGGCATATTTAGTTAATTTGTCCATATTCTTGGGTCTGGGCCCCCTTGAAAGCTCATCCTTCACATCTGAATTCAGTCCTGCCTTAAAAAGAGCCTAAACTGGTTCAGAGCTTAGATCCCAGCCCAACTTGTGCACAAGCATCGCAAATTGCGACCAGTAACTGCGGACAGTCAAACTGCCTTGTTTCAAAGTCAGTAATTGCTGCTGAGTTACACCAGTCTGACTTTCATTAGAAAACATGGCATCCATAGCTTCATAACACTTCCCCAGGTCCCAGAGTGCATCAATATCGGTGGCAATAAGGGGCCTAACCCATTCTCTAGCAGCACCCTCCAAGTGACTGACTACGAAAGCAATTCTCTGCGCATCGCTGGCAAATTCACTTCTTTGCAAATCCAGGGCATATCTAATCTCAGTCTTAAAACCCAAATACTCCTGGGGGTTGCCACTGAACCTGCTGACCAAAGAAGGTACCTTTCTCCCCACCGGAATGATCCTGCTCTCTTGATCTTGACTCCTTCTCTCTTCCAGGCAAATTCTCAATTCCTGCGTGTGCTTTTCCAGCTCCTCATTTCGCTTCTTCAAAGCTGCAAACTGTCTCTTTGCTTCCTCATCCATCACGCTGCTGTCTCTCTCCCTCGCAAGCAGCCCGCAGTGACTTCCGGATTGCTGTCATAGTGATTAATGACTGCTTGCGAAGATAACAGTTCGGAACTCCAGCCTGTCTTTTACAGGATTTATTGAGTGCAAAATACTATATACAGTGCAGAGGTTTCAAAAGCATGTCTGCCCCAATCGCTAACAGAATCCGGAAGTACTCCACGCCTGTTCCCACTCCAGCAGAGAAACCCCGGAAGCCCCCCCCCTTCTTTCCTTCTCCTTACGTGGAAAACTAAGCGACGCAGACTGCTCCTT